AGATAGCAATTTAGTGTAGAAATTTTATTATAAATAAGCTGAGTTTTTCATCATGTATCGATAGAAATTTAGAAAGTAAATTTTATAAGATAATAAAAACTCTTTGCTAAATTGTCTTGTAATAAACAAACTGCTTTGTGTCAACCTTGGTTAAGTAATATTGGATTATTTAACGTTATTGCTTTGTGTTAAAATTGTTTAAGTAATATTGGATTACTTAACGTTATCAACTGTATTAAAAGTCATCAACGATTTAAAGTATTTAATATTGTAAATACTTTAAGCTGTACGTCGCTACTTAGTTATAATAATTTATTATAACATTATCGAGGTAATTTCTTAACTTCTTAAGAAATTACGAGTCACCTGAAGTGAATTGGAAGTTATCATACTTGCCAATTCTGAAACTTGTTTGTGAAAGAATACCGAAGTTACCAAAGTCTCTCCTAAAACTTATTAAAAATTGATCTAAATCTTGCTGCTACTCAATTGATTATGTGTTTCAGTCTGTCTAATCATTAGTTGGGTAATACCATAATGCTAGCAGATGCTAGTAAACAGAAAGAAAGAATTCATTTCTATCTGGAATCTGACTAATATCACACTCGTCTTCAGTCAAATTGTAAATAAAAATATGAAGCCTGATAAGTTCATCATTTAACATTACATCTACTCCTCTGAGAACAACATTGGAAGACGCCAAATGTGACAGTTGTAATAAATTTCTATTAATAACATATTATGACTTCTGTAATTTTGCTATAGCAAAACACAGAGCAGTTCAAATTCTCATTACACCAAAATCTGCTAAAACAGTGTCTCACCTACTTAAACACACTTTACATGAAATTACTAGAGTTGCACAATCTTATTTTATCTGTGATATACCTAGTATTCCTTCTTCTTCTCAAAATCTCATTGAATGAATCTTTCCTAATTCCTCATATCACAACCAACTGTGATCAATTAATTCAGAAGTTTCTACCTGTAAATTTTTATCATTTTACATAGACAGTACTCTTTCTGCTCCAAAAACTGATTGATGTAAAATGTGTATTGGCTGGATCTATCATACTGATTTAAATTCACAATTAATATTGAATGCTTTCATTGACTATTGACCCTCTTCTACTCAAGCTGAAATCTTTGCTATTCTCTCAGCTCTGGTTATCTTCCCAAAATATTTAACTATACAGATTTATACTGATAGTCAAGCTACCATTCATAGCTTTCATTTTCACATTACTCAACAATCGTTTTCTATAAGAACTAAAGAAAAATCAGCTAACTACACATTATGGTATCTTATACAATATATAATGGAATCTTCTGAACTCCAAGTTTATCTTCACAAAGTTAAAACTTATAATAGAAGCCTTTCTAATTATATGGTTAACTCACTAGCTAAAGCTGGTTATAGTTTTCCTTCTTTATCTCCTTCCCTAGTTCATACTTCTAGATTATCTCTGATTTTTGCCTTTAAAAATATTCCTATTGAATCTTCTATTCATCAATTCTTCAAGAATTTTCCTTAGCTTTTAACTTCTCAACCTTTTTAGATCTTAATAGAAATGATCACATTAAGACTCATAGTGATTTTCACTGGCCTCTTATTTGGCAATTTTTTACCCTTAACTTCTCTTTCTTATCAACATTTTTTGAAACTTCATGACTCAAATCCTTTATTATCAAAATCTTTGTCAATGAACTTCTTACTCTCTCTCAATTAGAACAATTAAGACCTGATCTCTATAAAAATTGGTGTTGTATTAGTTGCAAAATTACCATTGAAACTTCTACTCATATGTGGTTTTGCTTAGCCTACTTCACACTTGTCAATAATATCATCTTACAAACCAAAGATCTTTTATTAACTGATTTGAAAAAACACTCCAACTCTAATTCATATTATGACACTTTACTTGAACTACTCTATTCCTTTAATAAACTCTTTGCATCACCCTTCTCATTAACTGATAGATTCCTTAGCATTATTCGATGTTAACTTTCCAGTGAATTTATTTCACTTATTCATAAAATTACAAAGAATAAGAATAGTTACTATACAACTATCATGAATTTCTTAATCTTCTTCTTTAAAAATCTATATGGTAATGTATGGAAATATAGATGCAAACTTCTTATTGCTTACGAATTTTTAAAATGTATTAATAATAAATTAAACACAAGTAAGATGCCTGCAAATGTTTACCGCATTCCCTTAAAAAACCTTTATCCCTAATTTGAAAATCATGAATTTACAAGACAATCAAATATGGTAACTCTTGAACAGATTTTTAGATAGGCACTGACTTTCTTCTTTTTCTTTTTCTGATGATAACATTAGTCATTAAATATGCATTTAGTGGGTCTGTTGGAGGGAAAAGACAATTATAGGTTGATTCAAATGGATTTGTAATATAACTACAGAGATAGCTAGTACTTTAAAATTAGTTTTTTGTTTCTACTTTTGTATTTGCTACTTATAAAAATTAAATAAAGTTATTAGCAGTGTCACATTGTTAAAAATAAAAAAATAAAAAATAATAATTTTGACCATTTTGATCATTTTGGATATCTGAAACAATCTATTTCAACTTCATGTATAATAATGATAGAATACACTTTGCTAAAAGATGTACGATGATAAAATGTTTATGATAATGTCACGTAATTATCATGTGAAATGTATTTAGAGAAATGATTGCATATATAGTCTGAACTAAAAATCATTGCATAGTACAAAAAGGAAGGAAATATATTAAGCATTAAGTCCCAAGCTTGGGATTAGACTTTAGGATACATTTATATGGAATATGCATTTATAGAGAATGCATTTATAGAGAGTTGACTGTATTTATTAATCACTTTTATGATATCTTTGTTAATCATTTTAGTTATAATATTATTAGTTGTTTAGTAATACATTTGTTAAGTAATTTGTAACACATTTGTTATTATCTTCATGATATCTTGTTAATACTTTGAAATTAGTGAAATTAGAAAAGTTCACATATTTCTTTAATTTAGAAATTCAATTGTGAGACTTGAATACTAAGTGTAATAAGGTTTCTTAATTATTTGAAATAAGTTTTTTTATGTGAAGATTCTGAGTTAAATCTTATTACTACTCGACTGATTAAGTATTTCAGTTTATCTAATCATCAGTTAGGTAATACTATTACATAAATATGAACAATTTTTTTACCATTTGATTTATAGAAAAATTACTAGATATTTTCCAACCCATAAGATTTTTCAAGTCTAATATTAATTACAAATGATAAAATTTCTTTAAAAGTTCTTGAGTTTACTTAAAAGCTTTGTGATATTTTTGTGTATTATCATAATGTTAACCTATATCTTTTCAAAAATGCTTTAACTAATAATGAAATGTTATAAAATTTTTGTTAAAGTTTCATATAGTTTTAACATATCTGCTTCACTTAAAATTTCTAGCAATTTATTTTGCAGAATTGCATATGATATAGCTAGACCTTGTTTCTTTGCTTAATGGTCTTTTTATATAGCTTTTTTTCAGCTTTGGGAAAAAAAGGTTTTCAAACTACTTGCTTTTTGCATTAGTTTTAATATTTCAGTTTAAACTTGTCAGTATTTAATGTTCTATCATGTTACAACTAATATAAAATTTTCTGCTAATTGTTCCCTTATATATGTAACAATCTCTATCTTCTGTTTTACAGAATATTGGTTTGTTTAAATTTAATAACTTGTTTTACCTTATAACAAGCAATTTTATTAGAAACTTTTGGCATTTTTTTGTTACACTTAACTGGTATAATACTGTATGACTTCATATATACACCTGTTAGATGATTAATGATCACATTACGCATATTGATTCATTCCCTAAAAGTTTTAAACAACATGCCATCCTTGTCAACAGACAATTGAGGCCCACTGGCTTGTTTATTCCAAACGATCACAGATGTAAAAATTCCTCTAATAGTAGGTAAATTTTTCTAATTCCTAATCAAAATTCGATATGAATTGATAATGTCTGTCAAAATCTTTCCATCTTACGTCTAAAATCTTGAATAATGTCAAATCTTAAGTGTAGCAATATGTTTCTCCTTATCAAAAGAATAACTTGATAAATATTGAAGAGCCGTAAATGAAAGTCTACTGTAATCGATGATATTTAAAGCAATTAACTGAGATGTTAAAGTTGTATATTCTTTTTTATTTTTAACTACCCGAAAATAAGCAACATTATTATTTTCAGATGAATACGGTAATAATGATTTGGAACCTTTGCAATAGAAAGAGGGAAAACTGCCGCGAAAATCAATTTTATTTTTATGATTATCAGGCAGAAATATATTCAATTTAGCATCAACTCATTTCTTATTTTCCCAGAAGTTTTTCCCGCAAAGGTCCCATTTATTAATTTAATACAATTTAAATTTATAAAAAAAAAGTCAATAAATAAATATATGAATTCTTTTTTTTTAGCACCTAAAATAGGATAGCCATTCACAAATTGAGCACGTGAAAACAATATTGGGCGTGCGGTCTATTTTTTAGAATTTTTTTTTTTGATAAGCTCGCAACTTTACAAAGACAATGTCGTCAGTTAAAGGTTTGTTCAATAGTTTATGTTCATTGTTTAGTTAATATTTTCTCATTTATTACTTTTGTCTATAGTTATCGTTACCTGGAGTGGACAAAAATTTGAATTGGAAATTGAAGATGATGAATCGGTTGATTCCCTTAAAGCTAAAATGTACAGTTTGACAAATGTAGAACCTGATAGACAAAAACTATTATTTAAGGGCAAACTCTTGACGGTAAATAAGATTGTCATATGCTCATTATATTATTTTATATTAATTTTATATTATTGTATAGGAATATTCCGATTTAAGCGCATTGAACATCAAAGAGGTATTGAAATTTATTTAATTATATTTTGAATCTACTTTAAAATATTTCTAATTAACGCATTTACATTCTGGATATAGGGCAGCAAATTAATGGTACGTTAATTGAAGTTTGATCCTAACGTTACATTAATTTTTCGTTAAAATTATCGATTATTTATTTAATTTAGATGATGGGAACAATTGGTGAATTACCAACGGAACCAAAAGAAAAAACTTTATTCTATGAAGACATGACAGATAAGCAACGGGCAGAAACTGTATGAATTTAAATTTGTATTTGTAATTATAGCTAAATTTCCATCATTATTAATGATCCTTTTTTATTAACAGTTGAAATTACCGTCCGGTCTTGAAAATCTTGGTAATACTTGTTACATGAATGCCACCTTGCAATGCCTGCGAGCTATTCCAGAATTACAAGAGTCACTCAATAGGTAAAGCATTTGCGTCTTATCACTTATATTTAGTGACTATAACTAAATTTGTGTTATTTATTATTATATAGTTTTACAGGTAGAGAAGCAGGTTCCAATGTTTTACAAAGAAATCTTACGGTTTCTTTGCGTGATCTTTATCATCAAATGAATCAAACCACTGAATCTTACTCGCCGCAATCTTTTCTACAGGTAATGTTGTTAATACCTGGATTTTTTTTAAAAAAAAATAATATATTTATCGAAAGATTTAATGCTACTATCTTTAGGTGCTTAGAAGTGCTTTTCCTCAATTTGCTCAACGTAATGCTTCCGGATTTATGCAACAAGATGCTGATGAATGTTGGTCTCAAATCATATCTAGTTTGCATCAAGCAAATGTTATTATACCTAAACAAGATTCTAATTCATCACCAATAGAAGGATCATTTATTGATCGTTATATGAAAGGAGAATTCACTTCAACGTGTGATTTTATTTCTTGTGAATCATGTTTATCATTGTATGTTTGAAGAATAAATAATTAAAAAGTTATATTATTTATTATTTTATTAGCATTAAATGTCTTGATGCTCCCGAAGAAGAGGAAGTTGTTACTAAGGAATATTTCTTTAAATTAAACTGTCATATCAGAGTGACAACAAACTTTCTCCAAAATGGAATTACGGGGGTACATGGCTTAATCATTTAAATATACATTCTTTATAAAAATGGTCATTTGTAATAAAATTAACTCCTTCTTTTATTTATAATAACTAAAATTAATTAACTTATTTAATATACCAATATTTATTAGGCCTTAGATGAAAATATTGAAAAAACTTCTCCTACATTAGGAAGAAATGCAACGTATAGCAAATCTTTACGTATAAATCGGTTACCTTCATATCTTACAGTACAATTTGTAAGGTTTTATTGGAAAACTGATCGTAACATTAAAATTTTACGTAAAGTAAAATTTCCAATGGAATTAGACGTTACAGAATTTTGTACTGATGAGTTAAAAAACAAAATATTACCTGTTAGGAACAGTTTACTTGAATTGGAAAAAGAAAGAGCAAGTTCAAAGGTACGAGATTATTTCATTAAAGAAAAAAATTATTATTTTTTTTTTAAAAAAAAAATTATTATTTTAGCGAAAAGCAAAACTTGCTGAGAATTTTAGTAGTCAAAATGCAACAGATTCAACAAATGAGACAAATAAGGAAACTACTAATGTAGAAGAACTTGAAAAAATTAAAAAACTTATTGATCCCGAATTAGCTAAAGATGTTGGAGCTAACGTATCAGGATTATATGAGCTTTGTGCGGCACTTACCCATATCGGAAGATCAACTGATTCAGGTTAGTTTATTATTAAGTATTTATTGTCTTTGTTTAATAAATTATATTCTTTATTAATTTAATGGGTTGTTAAACTTTTAGGACATTACATTGGATGGGTCCGTAAAGAAAATTCTGGTACGTTATAATTTACAAAATATATTCCTAATTATAGGTTAAATTTTTTATTTATCTTGAATAAACTCTTTTTTTAGATGAATGGATTAAATATGATGATGATAAGGTTTCAATAGTTACAGAAGAAGATATTCAAAAATTGGATGGAGGAGGTAAATAAAATAAATTAATATGCTTGATTTTTTTCGTTGATCGTAATTAATAAAAATTTATAATTTTTATGGTAGGTGATTGGCATATCGCATATATTTTATTATATAAATCAAAACAGATAGCGTAAAGAAATTGTGGACACGTGATTTGATTATGAATCTTTTCAAATAAAGATACTAACTTACTAAATTTTCTATTTGTGTTTTGGGTTTAAAAAATTATGACAAACTTGTTCGTATTTTTTTGCGTGATTTTCGTGTTGATAGAAAAAGTTTTGTTTAAATATTACCCAGCCTAAATGTGTATATTTTAGCCAAGTATAATAGAAATTGAAAGAATTATTTAAGAAATTTCGCCAAATAAATTTCAAGATTGAAGTTGTCGATTTTCATCTTAAATTGATGCTAATTCTTGATGATTTCAGTCAATAGTATCCAAATTAAATGTAAAAATCTACTGACAAAAAATAATCATTATTTAGCATGATTGATTATTTATTGATTAGAATCTTTTTAGGATGGAATAACTCTAGATTAAAACATATGAATATCAAAAAGAAAAGAATATTTGTGTACCTTTAAATCTTATTTCTTTAATGATTGATTCAAATATAAGGTTTAATAGAATACCATCAGAATGCTTTAGAATGAAAACATGATAATTTAAATGCTTTACAAAATATTTATAAAACAAATGATATTCAATACATTGCTTATTTTTATAAAGATTAATTATTTTTTATAAAAAGAAAATTTTATAATATTAAATTGTTTGATATATTTAGTAATTGACTTGGATGATTTTTAGATTTCTTATCATCTTAGTCTTTACTTTACTTCTTAATTTTTATTATTAAATCTGATTCTTTATTATTAATTTCTTCAAAAAACTTTGAGTTATCAAATCGTTTATTTTTGTGGTTGAAATCCCTAAGAAACAAATCTGATTTTGTGATTAAGAGCTGTCTAATTATTGCTATACATATCATCATCAAAAATCGACTTTATTGCATTGATCATCAGTAATCTATGGAATGATAACATAATAAATACTGTGCAAATGATCTATAAAACTCCTGATTTTCTGGATTCTAAAGATTCACCTGATTTACCAAATCTACCTAATAAACCTTATAAATCAGATAATTATTAATGCTTATTTCTATTATTTTAATTATTATCATTATTTTTATTATTTCTATTATAATTATTATCTCTGTTATTCTTAATATTATCATTATATTAATACTTATAGTTACAGATTTAGTTAGTTTATAGCCTAATAACTAGTTAGCTATAACAAATTAATTTTGTATAAATAAAATAAATAGCTTTTTACTCAAGTTGTTAATTAACTCTCTTGAAAATTCTCAAACACTTATGATTTTCAAGTAATAAAGAAATCAATTTTGAAATATAATTACTTTTCTCTTCTACATATCTATTATTTAGGATTTGATTGTAAACTATTACACTAACTTGCTTTTAAGTTCATCACATAGAATAAACAAATTCTTTATGTTTCTCTTAAGTTCTTAAACCATTAAGTTTATTGTAGTTGTCATAATCCTTGTTTTATAAATGTATAGCATTTTTGAGTTCGAAAGCTTCAACGTAGTTTATACCTTCTTGATCATTTTTGCCACTTATCATTAAGAGGATTTGTATTACAAATTAATATTTAATTGCTGAGAATCCTTTTCTATACTTTGAGTGATAATTTGTCTTATAATTTTTTTATAATGTTATTGTTATTTAACTTTTCTTCTATTATTATATTAGCTTTCTTCTGTTTAGTATTTACAGTCAACTTTTCATAAATGTATTCTCTATAAATGCATACTATTTATAAATGTACTCTTTTGCTTGGTCTTAAGCTAAGACTTATATGCTAAATACACATTTTACATATATTGTAATCTATAAATGCACACTTTGACAAAAAATTTTTATAATAGTTACTTATAAAATTTTTGTATTACATTAATTTTATATTAATAAAATATAAATTTATATATATCTATAAATGCATATCCTCTCTAAATACACATTTGTGTCTGGTACTAAGGGAATACATTTATAGAGTTAACTGTACATTTACTTAATTTAAGATTGTAAACTTTCACATAGCTTCAATGCGGATTGAATTAATGGATCATTTCCTTATGTATACATTTTATCTATACTTGTGAATAATTAACTAATACGAAGTATTCACTTATTATACTATGAATATATCTTAAGTTATTATTCTTTCTTTATATTTTCTATTTACTACTTCTTATTATTTTTTCAGAATATTTCTTTTAAATATTTCTTCCAATTATTACTTCTGAATGTTATTTTCAATTATACTTTTGAATATTATTTCCAATTATTATTTCTTAATATTATTTCTGATTATTACTTTTGAATGTTTTTTCTAAATATTACTTCTGAATATTATTTTTTATTTTAACATAATTTCTCTAATATTTTTCTAATTTATTGTTTATATATAAGTGAAATAACTAAAATTAAAAAAATAGTGCAATTAAATTGCAACTTGTAGCGCAATTAAATTTTCTTATAGTGTAATTAAGTTGTATTTTAATTGAAATTTGAAAATAATTATGAGGATCATCTTTAAAAATAACTTTATTGTTTTCCATAAATTAATTGTTTAACAATTAATTATTTCAAACAAAAGTATTTATTTTATTAAAATAATTTTTTTTTATTTGTTAAAAGAAATTTAAACATGTTTCTTTGAGAATATTTAAAAGGTTTATATATAATTTTTATATATGAAATCATATGATAAATATGTGATGAAACTTCTAATTATTACTATATATTATTAAATATTTACTATAGTACACTATTTAACTTCTTATTACAAATTACTTTATTACTACATACTATTACTTCTTACTACAAATTACAATTACGTATAAGTGTGTAAAATCTATATGCACAATATGCATATAGGTACATTAATTTTTGTGTGCATATTAGTAATACCTGACTAAACTCTTTTTTGAAAAATTGTAATTTTGTCAAAAGTTTCGTCTCTTTAATATTTTTATATAAATAAATATAAAATTATTATATTTTTTAATGTATTTTATTTAATTCAAGGAATTGAGATCAAGTTAAATATAATTTCGGCAATTAAGTAAAATAATTTCATCATTAATAAAAAACTATTTTTGTCATTTCAGTTTCGTCAATTTCGTCATATTAAGAAAGATAATTTCGTTAGGTATCACTAGTGCATATATTATATAACATACAATGTATACAAATTATTACTAAAAATAAATAAATTATATACAAAAAAGGTAAATTTACATAAGAAATTGTTATTATTTCTTACTTTAGTAATAATTTATAAACTTGTGCATATAAATTTTTATTTAGATTTTACATACTCTATGTATTATTACTTCTTACTATAATCTGAAAATATACTAGATTTGGTTATTGATAATCACATTTTATTTGGTAATGATTATCTATCAATTCTTTTTTAGATTATTTTACATTTTGTAAATGGCTGGCTAATAAAATTAAGAATTTAAATAATAATGATTCAGTTAGATTTTTGCATATTCATTCTCAAAGATATTTAATACACGCTTTTATTAATTCTAAATGTAAGGTGTATAGCTTAATCTCAATCTATATACACTATATAATTTGCTTTATAAGTCTGTATCTTTACTCCACTTTTTTACTAGCATCTCAAAATTCATTTAGAGAAAATTAGCTGTATGTAATTTTATTTTAGATTGCAAGATTGATTCTGAAGTATAAGTACTTATACTAAAGCAACTATATTATGAATTTAATATTAACTATTTTTTATTTTTTACATTCACAAAATGTGTTTCAACAGTAACGAGGTAATGGGATAGAAAAGTAGCTATATAAATAGATGATTATAAAACATGTAGTGTATAATTAATGTTATATGTATTATATACTTATGTATGCTTTGATTGTATCTATATATATATAGATATTAAAAATAAACATATGCTATGTATGCTATACTTATTTTCAGCTGTACATAAAATTAGGATTTGCAAAAATAAAATTATTTATAAAATAAATATTTCTTAATGTACTATATAAAGTGATAACACAAACATTTATAAAATTATGATAGAAATTACGTAATAATGACTCATAAAAAATTAAAATTATTTATATAGAGGAGTGACAAATTTTTTCAATTATAAATATATAGATAAACCAAAAACACAAAAATTATTTTTATTTAAATTTATATGCACTATTGTTAATAATAAATCTATAATATTTAATTAATATTATAAGATTAAATTCTTTGTGCAATTTAAGACTTTCCAGTTTTAGTTTTTCGATATCTGCTAGTTTTTGTTTATTTTTATTTTTTTTAGTTTAAAAATTTATACATTCTATACATACCATACATAAGGATATATATCCTATCATACAATACATATAGTGTTAACCATACATTACATATTTGTTATATATCCTTTTTGGAATCATTTTTGTTTGTAATTTTAATAAAAACTCTTTCAAAATAAAATATTTGTTGAGAAGGTAACAATATAACTAACTAACTGAATTGAAAATATTAGTAAAATTTTTAGCGAAGCATTTTAATTTTCTAAAAAAAATTTTGTTTTCAAAACATTTTAGATGAAATAGGAAAGATTTTTTCTATTTAAAAAATTTTTTTTTTAAGTTTAACAATACAGTATTGCAAGATCTTTATTAAATTTTATATAAAATACAATTAAATAAATCAAAAAAAAATATAATAATAATTACATTTAAATTCTATTTGAGTTAATCTAGCATCACTGATATTGACTGAGATCGTATATCTTTTGTTTTTTGTTTTTTCTAAATATAAAAAATCATGTAATATGACGTCATTTTGACTATTTTGCAATTTTAGCCTCCAATGGTCGAAATGATTTCAACCTTTTTCTGGTGATAACAGTAGCCATTAAATATGCATTTAGTGGGTCTGTTGGAAGGAAAAGACGATAATAGGTCAATTTAAACGGGCTTGTAATATAACTACATAGGATAGCTAGTACTTTAAAATTAGTTTTTTGTTTCTACTTTTGTATTTACTACTTATAAA